AAATAATAAAATGACAAATTATACCACGAACAAATATTTTGCACTTCTTCAATGTTAGATATCGCGCGATAAGTTTTTATAGCATGAAAAACTTGTGAAAGGAGCATATGCTTTATTTTAAGGATTTTTAATTTAATGATTATTGTATCTCTTAACACAACAGCATGTTTGCTTACCTAGAAATGTAGGCAAAAAACAACAACAACAACTAGATACTCGGATAACTATGTTGTTTTATTAACTTGAATGTTAAAAGTTATATCAAACTTGTCACAACACTCGTGGAATTGTTTTATGATAAATGTATGAGAATTCAATGAGTTATTTTTGTCATGGTTACCGCCTTCTTACTCTCGCAGGATTAGAGAACTTTCAAGATTCACGAAGTACTATATATATATGTGTGTGTGTGTGTGTTTAGAACGTTTTAATATTTTAGTGTTTCTTTGAAACGTTTTATAACCAATAAAGCCTGCACATTTCTTAAAGTTTATGATACGTTTAAGGTAATTAAGTTCCAAGTATCAGGATCTCGAATACACCAAATATTAAAATACTAGAGTGATTACAATAAAACTTAATAGTCTGTGGGAACTTTGTTGTTAAATGTTATTGAATTATTCCTATTGCATACAGGTTCATTATGATTACTAGCGACTTTTAAAATGATTCTACATATATGGACATTCATATTACAATGATATAATTATTTAACACATTGGAGACGAATTTATAAATGTTGATAACACTTGTGAAATTACAAGAAGACCACAAAGCGACAGCTTTATTAAATAAAGCTTCCATACGGTTGGCTTTTGTGATGTTCTAAATATCCAAGTATAAAACTTGTAGCGAAGAAATAACTAAATTTTTATCAGAAGTTTTTAATAATAAAGTTACTGCATTTTTTCTCTTTGGTTTTAAATTTCAAAATTGTTAATAAAAGTCTTCAATTTACCTTTCAAGAAACGCAAGAAAAATTCTTAGATCGTAAATGAGAACCATTTTGATAGCGTATAATACATTTCTCCTGAACGTTAATCATATTTTTAAGATCATCTCGAAAAAGTATACTATTGATTCATTTATTACGAACTATGAAAATGTGGACATGCTATATAATGTTATATACAAACTGAATTGTGAAAGATTATATCATACAAGTTTCCATACTAATGGTCAAGCAGAACGAATAGTAAATGTATATATTGTCCACGAGCGTTTCTTACTCTAACCACATATAATATTTATAGGCTAAATGACAAACAATATGAACTAATCAGCAAAACTAACAAATCGTTTTACAATTAAAATGGATGATAATTCACACGAGTGTTTTTTTTTTGTTTTTTGTAAATAGAAAAGCCATTCGTACATTTCAAAAAAATAAAATAGGTAAGTGAGATACTGATTCCTATTTAAGACTAAACATATCCAAATTTAACAAGTAACATTTAATGGAAATATTGGCATGTGTCTTACAACATGCACTTAAGATTGAAAGTAAATATCACTAATCATGATGTTCTGAAGATGATACTACTTTCCTTTGTTTATGTGTTAAATACATAAAAAGTAATTCATTTCACTTTCAAAGTTAACACTGTGGGTGTAAACAGTCTTTAATTGTTAATTTTGGTTTTCGAATAACAATAATAAGCATTTTACTATAAGTTTATATATGTATATATTCGCCTTAGTAAAAACTAGATAGTTATTAATGCATTCTAAATTTTTTTAAACAACTTCACGAGCATAAGCATTTACAATTCATACTTCTGCGTATTTTGCCGCATGAAATTCTGAAAACATAATATTGATATTAAAAGACGTAATCTGAAAAAAAAGAAATTGCGTATCTAAATGTAATTTGGTAAATGCAAAACATACTTGATTATTTTAAACGATAAAATAAATAAAAGTATTCATTATTTGTCTACAAGATATTTTATGTGTTAAAATGTTATCAAGCTTTCAGCTGTGTACCCAAGAAATAAATGCAAATTATATATATATATATATTTGAGTAATGTTTTAACTCGTGTTAATTTTTTTTATGTATTTGGAAGTAGCTCTGTAGGAACTATAAGGTCTTGATAAATAGTCAGATACAGATTATCTGTAGCTCTCATTTAGATTATATATCTCACTTTATATATATATGTGTAGATAGATAGGTGTCTATAAGATTTTAGAGCTTTATAAAGCAGTTAAAACTAACACATGCTCTTTGTTTAGATGCAAGTGTTGTTAAATAAACACGTTTATAAAGTTAGACTTGATAACAGTCAAACTATACGTTAACGGATGTTTAGAATTTATGAAAAGTTTCTAATGTAAGTAGTAAAGACAATTTTGTGTACCATACCAAAGAAAAATAAACTATTCCTAATCTGTTTGTGACTATTACTTGTATCATTAAAAATATATCTCAGTATCAGTTGATAAAAAGTTCTAGTGGATCTTATTCTATACAATAAGAAACAAGTCTCCTGAAAATTCAGGTATATTCAAGAACAAATATTTGGAAAAGAAAAGTTAATTAAACTTTTAACGGAGTACTAAAACGCTCAACAACATATTTAATCTTACTTCGTCAAAGCAGTGCCCGGCATGGCCAGGTGGATAAGGCGCTCGACTCACAATCTGAGGGTCGCGGGTTCGAATCCGCATCCCACCAAACATGCTCGCCCTTTCAACCGTGGGGGCGTTATAATGTGACGGTCAATCCCACTATTCGTTGGTAAAAGAGTAGCCCAAGAGTTGGCGGTGGGGGGTGATGACTAGCTGCCTTCCCTCTAGTCTTACACTGCTAAATTAGGGACGGCTAGCGCAGATAGCCCTCGTGTAGCTTTGCGCGAAATTCCAAAACAAACAAACAAATCGTCAAAGCATAGTTTCAAAGTCATTTAGGGAATATAAACATAAAATATGAATAACGTTGCTTCAGTATCATTCAAATCACATTGATATACTCTGTCTTTTCTTGAAACACATTAAAATACTTAGTAATCTAATAAATATTGCTTTACCTTTAAAATACAACAATGGTTCATGATTTTGTATTTTATAGACTTCAATGGCTTACTAAATGTTTCATAGATGGCGTCGCTGACAAGATATTTCAGACTACAATGTTACTTTTAAAAAAGCAGCAGTTGAACTTAGTATTAACCCTCTATTGCATGCATTGTAAAAATACGGTTGAAAGTGAAGTGTTCTTTGAATTTCTTACATTAAACAGGTCTATATTACACAAAAAATATGTTTTTGTGAAACAAATTTTGGTAAATCACTAATTGGTACGTTACTTAGAAGTAAGATTGTTTAATTGATGAACCAACAAAAATAATTCCATGGTTTAATAATGCTTGAAGACGGCTTGAATGGGTAATGAAGAAAAACTTTAATATAAGTTTAACATAACAGCAAATGTACAACGTTTCGACAAGGTTTTGTCATCATCAGGTACTTGTATTAGTCTCAAAGTGGATTTCTCGTCATCGAATTTGAATTTCATGGTTTATTTAGAGTGTTACCTGGAAGTAAGAACACTCAACGGTACAATCGAATAACTTGTATGTGTATGAAGCAACAAAGATAGATTTGTTACCTATACGTTACAATGAACAATAAAGGGGTAACAAGATTCTTCTAATTAGTTTGGAGCTGACACAAATGCTTATCAGTTTTCAATAGTGTGGCATTAAAACTGCAATGTGACGTAAAGAAAACATATCTTGCTTCTGAAAGATTTTACAGTGCTTAAAACGTTTAAATATGAACGCATTATTACATATATGTTACAATTTGTATTAATATTTTATTTCCCACAACTAAGACTTTTCCAAGAGTGATATCATAGCTGCAATATCACACTACAAAAAACTAGTAAGCAGTTTGGGGTAGATCTGACCTAATTAATATAATCTTGTGAATAGGTTTTGTTTGTTTTTGGAATTTCGCGCAAAGCTACACGAGGGTAATTATGTTTGAAATTATGAACATTGCTCAACATCATGAAAATTAAACCTTATTTTCAATAAGCAATCCTGAAAAATATTTGGGGGTGCTTAACTTTTTTCCAGGTGTATATATACCCAAGTACAGAGTTTAACAAACTCTTGGGTAATCCTAATTGAATGGATGGCATCTCCAGGTTTCACCTGAGTGAGCTTTTCAAAATACACGTGAAGAATATTACTGGTACTAATGACCATCTTACAATATGTGGTTTGTTCCTACTTCAGCTAAATTCCTACAGTTTTTCCATAAATTTGTAATCATGTTATTCACACTTTAAGTAAAAGACTAATAACAGTGATTAAACAGAACACACAAATTATTTAAGAGCAATAAGATTTTCATATGAAGTATTCAAATACAAAATTATATATGTAAACATTTTTTTATTTACTATCTAAAGTTATTGTTCAATTGTATTTATATACAGGAAACAAACACTTATACCCCAAAAAATACTGAACAAGTACAACAATATCAAAATGTCAATGAAAAAAGGATACATCTTCAAACATTTTCTTATAACTGTAAATAAAATCACTATCAAAAAGTGAGGGTTAAATCTCAAGCACTTAGGAAAACTAAAACACATATCTCCAATCCCAGAAAGAGAGAAAAATCCTTGATATTCTAAAAATTTCAAAGTTTTACAAACTTGTGTTACTAGCTTATGGAAGCCAGTATTTTATTTAAGGTTGTCTTTTCACTGAAACTTATATTGTGATATTTTGTGTATGTGTATGGTTGTTTCAAATACAATAGCTTATTAAGTATTTGTGTATGAGGTGAATCTTGCACAGATTCAACCCCGAGTTAGATGAATGACAGAAAATTCTCCTGAAGAAGAATAGTCAACTATTTGAAAACACTCAAGTTTTGGATCTCGTTTGAAAACATTAGAAAATTATATAAAATAGTTATTTGAAAATGACATTTGTGCAGTAACAAATTTAAATAAGGAATTTATGAAAGCTTACCATCATTTTCATTACAAGAGACATTAGCAAAGTTTTTGATTTCCTCTATGGAATCCTAAAGTATGTAAAAAAAACAGCAACTTTTCAATACCAACTTAGTTACAAGTAACAGAAAACAATAAACAAACAAACATGTAAAATAAAGTAGTACAACAGTTATTATGATATGGTTATGTTTATAACCATATTATTATGATTATGTATATAATGTTCTGACCCTAAAGAAAGAGAATCATTAAGAGAAAGTTGTAAAAAAAACACAAAAAACATGAACACCTCCTTTTTCTCAATAAAAAAAAAATACAACATGATTTACTGTCAATACAAATTCATATGTGTGCAAACATGACTATCATATGCTTCTACAGTCTTTTAGTTTACAATGAAATTTTTTTGAAAAGGAACCCTCTTGCACAATTAGTTGCTGATTCCCAGCTCTTTGTTGTTCAATAAAATCTAGTTTCATGACTTCACATTCCATCAAAATGACTCAACTTTTTCCTTCAAAAAACTACTTATAAAGATGAAATCACTTTAATGTGCAATAAATGAATGTTAAAAATCTATGTACAGTTTCAATAATTTGAATTAATTAAATTCAATGGAAATTTTTGCACAAATCTAAATTGATAACATGTTTAGTAAATGAGTCAAAAAGATGCAGACTACCACCTAACATTTGCTGAAAATAAAAGCTACATACTTACTTAAATTAAAAAAATAAAAATAATTTTATTAAAAAGTAAAATGATAAAATGTCAAAAATAAATTAACATTGCAAACACACTGCTTACCATTTCTTCTTTAGCCCTGCACAGTTCATCAACACACACAAGAATTGCCTTTTGGTGGAATTCATCTTTAACACCTATGCTCTATTAAAAACAATACACAAAATCAGAACACCCAAGAAAAAGGTTTTTAAATTAACAATAACACATTTTTTTCAAAATGGTCCACAGAAATTCTTTAGGTTGAACACTTAAATTAACATCATAAAATTTAAAAAAATGACACTATACAAAATACTGTATCTTACAGCAACAATCAGGTTTTGTTTATTTGTTATTTAGCACAAAGCTACACAAGAGGACTACCTGTGCTTTGCAATTTCAAGTCCTGAAACTCAATTTTTTAAGGTTCTAAGCTCTCAGACTTACCACTATGCCATTGGCAGACAATGATTAGGTACACAAGTCACTTATTTTCAGGTACTTAAAAAAATGCAAAACATATCTCTATAAATGAAAGTACAAAAAATGCTTAAATTATAATAAAATACAAAACATCTTTCTTTTTATCAGACATTTCAAAGTATAACCCACAGAATTACTAACTCTGAGACGAATTTGTTCACTTAACATAACTTTTACCTCCTAAATGTTTTGTTAAAATCCAACATATTCAAAACACACTGACAAGTTCTAGAACATTTCCCTACACAATTCTGGACAAACATTTTTTTTTTATGTTTGTAACCCTAAGCTGAATTTTTTATGAATTTTCTTTTTCCTTTATTACAAAAAATCAAACAGAAATTTGTAAGTTTTTCCTCATTAATTTCTAAAAATTCAAAATTATCAAAATATTCTTTGACTATGTTTCAGATGCAAATATTTTTTCATTTTATAAACTAAAAATGTTGGTATACAAACCTAAGGTACTATCTAATATGAGTTTACTTTGTACAGTTTTCAGGTACAATAGATATTTATGTTTTAACTTTTTCATACCAGTTTAGGAATTTTTCAAACAAATTTACCAAAGGAGGAAACATATTTCTACACAATGGTGAACAGTCCAAAATAATACAACAACAATAAAGAGATTTTTACAATACTGATAAGTTTAAACTTTCTGATTCTAATATATTAATTAATTTTTATTTTGATACATTAAAAAAGCAAGTTGAGACATCCAGAAAGAATATTGCAAAATCATAAAAAATTTAAGAGTATAAAAATTAATTATCCTTTAAAGATTTGTTTTTATTATTTCTGTAACAAAAAAATAACAGTATACCATTAAATAAACATTCATGAATCACAATACTACTGCTCTACTAATGTACCAAAAATCAGAACTTATGAGATGAAAAAATAAGGCACCTCCCAGAACTCATCATTAAAATCATAAAAAATGCAAACAACACATTATCATTCCTATTTTTTTTATATTTTTGCCATTTTTATAATAAATAATAGTTTGTTATTGTTACTTGTTTTCCCAAACCAAAGATTCAAGAAAGCTAAAAAGATGACAATAAGTTAATTATTTACAGTATATATACTGTTCTAAGGTAGAGAAGCAGACACATTTTTGAAGATAACATAAAAGTAAACACATTTATGATAAAATTTAGTGGTTATCACAGGAATGAAGACTCAAGTATTTAATGGAATCTAACAAATGCAATCAGAAGGTAATTATTTTCACTTTAATTAAACAATATATTAATCAAAGTGATCAAAATTTATATTAATAACAAAGAAAATAACCTTGAAATTTCCTACAGCTAAGCAAGGAGATGAACAGATTACAATTTAAGGCTAAATTGCTACAAATAAACCAGGAAACATTTACACAAGTACAAACACAATGAGTAAAGAGAATCACTACAGTATTCTACGAAGGCATGCAGCACCTTTTAGTATTAGATATACTGGCCAAAGATTAATTTTCCAACAAGATACAATCCAAGACATACATTTAAATTCTGTCGAGACTACACCAACACAAGGAATAACACGATATATCTACAAAATATCATTTAGCCATCACAATGAGACTTACCATCTAATGAAATCAACAAACACGTGCAACCTATGACAACACATAATGTAACACAACTGTGGCAATACATCCTGGTATGCCCTAACACCTAGATAACACTGACAAGAATACCATTAAATAGCAAAGTTATCATAAGGCCAAAGGTGGCTATTTGGATGCATCTAATGATTAAGTGAAAATAGTTTGACTATTGCACCTGTAGGAGTCCAATTAAATAATTTTGCCTTTAATGTTATTATATAAAATAATTTATTACAAGTGTGTATTTTAATCTTATCTGCAAAAACTTGTCATGTTTGCTTCCAAATCTTGAATGGTAGTGTTAAGTTAACAACAACTTATAAATTATCTACTTACAAGTAATTTCTCTTTATCCAACAAGAAGAGATCTGAGCCTTTTATGTTTCTAAACCTAAAGAGTTCAGCATAGTGGTACAAGTTTAAGGCAGCCATCCATTCCACAACATTGGCTGTTGACCACTGGATGACTGGCTACAGGAAATGAACAAAGAGATTCAGTTTGTATGTAATAACATTAAAATAATGGGTAGCTCACACAACATAGCAAAAGAGATGTTGCTGTAATTATATGAACTATAAACCAAAAATTGAGCCCTTGTACAATGTTAATAAAAATACCATTATAGCACTTAAGTAACAAAAGACATGCATAACCATGTTTATATAACTGACAAATAAATAGCTGATACAGATTACAATTAACATATGTATGTGTATAAAATATTACTGGCCCTGAATTATTTAATCAGAAAAATTATGAAAAATTCAATCCACTTTGAACAATAAATTGGTACTGTGGAAAAATCATTTTCACAAATTGAATTAAGATTACATTTTGATGATGCCCAGATACTTTAAAGTCTTGTTGATGCATTTTATTGTATACTGAATTAGTCCTCATGCATGTGAACAGTTTTCATATTGGTAATATAGTTAAAAACAAAAAAGATAAACAGCACCTGTCTAACATTAGCAAAATCTTCTTCAGACTAATACTTTCCATAACATCTGTTCAAAATTAAATAAATATTAGTTTAGAAAATTTGCTTACATACACATTCACTGGCTAAACACTGCCATTGTCAAATATTAAGAAGAGTTCATTATCAAACCTAATGTTCAATAGCTGGTCTCCTAACTTGTATCACAGTTGGTTCATGCTAAAATAAGTTTATGTTTCAAAATATATGTGGTTTGTCAGTGAAACTGCACACACAAAACACAAACAATCATAAGTAATGACTTATTTCATTTATCTTTATAATTAGTTTCATTAAATCTTAATGGTTACAAGGTTTTAGAAAGTTTGAATAATTCTTTGAATTATAAGTATATTATTTTACATTCTTAATGTAAGGATGAAGGACTAACTTAAATCTCTTAAGCTGACTAAATTTTTTGAGATATTAATAAAGACTATGGTTAGTATTAACACTGAGGATATTCAAATGATAATTCAATGTACTAGAATAATTAGCTGATTTAATTTTCTTATGTACTGATTCATAACAAGAATTTCTCATCAGTTATTTATATTATTTTGGTTTTGATTTCTGTAGTTAGCTCACAGATTCATCATACTTTAATCAACAAACTGAGTAGGGTTGACAATTTCAGGAATTGTAAATGTAGTGAAAAAGGTTTTGTAATTTATAAGCTAATGTAATGTCATAAAGAAATGTAATAATGAGTTCAAAGAGCAAGTGTAGTATGAAACTGTCATACAGACTTTCTTTCTAATGAAATATTTGTGCTTGTATTAATTTGTTTCAAGTAAAACCCAAATTTGATACATTTTCATTTATAGAAGTGGTGTTCTATATTTTTCTATATATGGACAGACAAAATGTTTGTTACAAAAGGTGTTTTGGATGAACAATAATAACACATTTTCACTCATGACCTTAACATTAATGTTACATAGTTCCTACACAAAACTGTGACTGTTAACATATGATGGTAATCAAACAATTTTGAGTAACAGTTGTTATTTTAACATTCTGCTAGACTGTCTTACAGTAACAGCCAATTCAAAGATCAGTGATCCATGCCATCTCAGCCACACCTATGTGTAGATGTATAAAAAACAAAACAAAAAAAAACCGGTTTCTGTTGGTGACCCAGCATGGAGACTAAACCACCTTCATGAGTGTTATCAGCCATGCAGATAAAAGATGTCAGATAATTGTGTGTCTTAAGAATAATGACAACCTGGAGCAATTAGTTTTCATATACACAAAAGTCTGTTTAACCTTGTTCAATCTTTTTCACCATTAGGCAGATTCTTAAACAATTTTATTTACTAATTACTAAATAGTATTAGATACCCAAAGATAAACGGTGATAGGAACAGATTATTGTAAAAATTACACGTTTCCTAGCACATCTTAGTGTATACATGAATACTGATGACAGAAACAAAACAGACATTAACTTCAAATTTGAAGATTCGTGGAAGAATTTTCATTTTGTTTAAAATTTGTAGCAGCCTCAAAGGTATCTTTCAGCTAAACTATAAAGTTCGTATAAAAACAAATATATTTTATCAACGTAATTGTATGACAATATGAATATGTTGCCCTAGTCAATCATGAATTATAAGAAAGTACGAACATTTAAGCTTTTCAGTGTTTCATTCATTGAAATATAAATAAGAAGACCTTTGTAATAATATCCCGCATTATTTAAAATACAATTTTCATAATTCAATGGATTTTATCGCATATAATTAATCCGAGAATGTATTATCGCACATATTACTTTCTTACCTCTGGCATTCAAGAGGTGGCACCACATATTTTACTTTCAACAGTTCAATTTTCATAATGATAATAGTAACATTCGATAAAAAAAACAAAAAAAAACTCATTACAAGTTTTACTACCATTACTATTATATATGGGAATAATTTACCTCTATACGTACAGAATTCCTTAAAATAAATCAATAATTTCCAGCTTTTGGCACAGTTATTATGTATTTTTTCAGACTGTTGCCATCCTGATGATATTTACAGAGCTAGAAGTGGATTTAGACCTCTAATATTTTATCTTCAACTTATATGTTAAATCCAAGTGCGATACAACAAAAGGTATTGCCCATAAATATAAAAAACGGAGGCCAAATGATGAACACTAGAAGTAGCACAAGTCCTCCCAAACTATAATTTAGGTCGTTTTGAATAGAAATATAAAACGGAAGTTTAATCGTTTAAAAATAAATCGAATTCTCCTCCAATCCAGATAAACATACGTAAATCCTCCGTTACAGAATTATAAGACCACTTGCTTACCGAAAGTGTAAGTAACAGCAAGTCACTTCAATTTGTTATTGTAGCCAAAAATGCACACTCCCAAGCAACATGCGCAAATCACGCAAGACTTGTCCTTGTACCTTGACAGTCCAGTAAAACAAAAATGGATTCAGAGACACACAGCAACTGTATACATGATGACTGTATACTTCAATACGTTTTAACAACCACTTATATGAATAACTGATTCTAGTTAGCGTTAATCATTTTTTTTAATAATTTCTTACAAGAGGTGCAAAAACAACTTGCGGAAAATATTTCAAGTAAATAATTTACCCAAATTTAACCTTGTAACTATCCTTCAGCTGCACGGCATTGCATTTACAGTCTTGATACGAAATACTAGGACAATTTTTTAAAAATGTATTATTTCCTAATAAAAGTATTATTTTACACTATTATTACAAAATATTAAAATGTATCAGTAGAAAATAAAATCGCTTGGAATCACACTGCTCCACTCTCATAGCTAAAGATTCATCTAGATGTGCGTACATTCGAGTCCCCGTGTGGGGTAGTGGTAAGATTACGCTAAAATACGGGGTTCGATTCCACGCGGTGGACACAGCAGATCGCCCAATATGGCTTTGCTCTAAAAGAAAGAAACAAACAAAGCTAACATTCGTTTGCATTTTTAGTTGTCCCCAGCGACACAGCAGCAAGTATGCGAACATTATAACGCTAAAAACCGGGTTTCGATACCCTTGGTTGGTACAACACTGTGTAGCTTTGTGCTTAACTATAAACAAAACAATTTTTCAATTATTGCTTTGTCTATCTGCATCCGTCATATACTTGTCATAACTATTGTAATGAAGAGTACGAAAAGCGAAATAATTTCAAATTGACTTTATTTGTCTCACCGTTCGCATCTGTAATGCCAAAGGTACGAGTAAAAATAGTTTGGTGGGTGCCCGACTTCGTGGGAGCTTGGAATTTAGTGCCACTAAGTAAGCGTACTTTCCTCCAAATTTCCCATAGTTGATCAGTGTCAAGTTCCAAATAAGAAATAAAAATATTAAAACATTTTTTTATCTACAAACATGGCAGTAAAAGAAAGTTAAAATAGTTCAACCAAAGAAATTTTATTCATTTAGGTAGTAATAGCACATATTAACAATATGTTACATTTTTGTAATGTCATTTCACCGTTGCCAATGTATCCAGGAACACAGTAGGTATCAGTTAAAAGTTTATTAAGAGGGAAGTGGATGAAATGTTTAAATATAATAATGAGATGCAACATTATCTTATTGTGGATTGTTTTTCCGTTTCAACAGACACTTACCCACACAGATTACTTTTTACCCGCATGCATAACTTGTGTGTTCTGCGTGTGTATACATCCGCTTATATTTACATTCTGGGTTTGCTTTTTTATTGTATAACAGTAAGTTTCATATTTTATATTACTTTTGCACTATTTTATGTAAACTCTGGCTTACTTGAGTTTTCATTTCGTTTCTGTCTTGTCTTTCTTAAGCTTAATTTTTGTGATAGACATGAATTATCAGATAACGCGTTTTCCTGTTCACAGATCAGTCTCTTCTACAGTATAAATGGGGCAAAACTACGTAATATGACATCTATGATAAGTTATCTATCTCAGTAACACCGTTGCGTTTTAATACTGTAGACATTGTATATTTCAAGTGCATTATGTCTGACGATACGGTGTTACAAGAGTTTCAACAATACAAGACAATATCAGATTTGGTTTGATTTGTTTCGAGTTTCGCCAGCTTATCCGTCCCATGAGATACAATTTTAATAAAAGTTTCAAGAACATTTAATAAAACAGAGTATGTATGGTCTTACTAACGTTTTCATTATGCAAAAAATTCGACTTTTGCATCCCAAGAAGCAAATCGACAAAAAACGAATAAATAAAATAATGCTTAATGTCCTCCAAGGGACGTTACAATTTGGTGCACATTTTTAAAGTATGGTTTATGTAGTTCTAAAAATTCCTTAAAAATAGCCCCCGATATGAAGTTATAAATGAAACACTCAGGGTTTGAAAAAAACAAACAACAACAAATGTTTGTGTATCAAAGTTTCTTATGAACTTCATACGAGGGGCGTTAAAAAACAAAATTAAAATATAATATGACATGGTTTCCAAACGAGACCCAAAACTCGAGTGCTTTCAACAGTT